AGCCGGCCCGGCTCACCGCAGTCGCTCCTCCTGTGCGCTCCCCTTGGGTGTGTGTGAGCAGGGCAGGGTATGGCCCTGGGCCCACTTGAAGCTGGATGAATCTGAATTCTGAAGAGGCTAGAGACAGACAGGGCCCAACCGAAAACTGACTTCATTTTATTAAAATCACACAGTAATTTGTGCACGTGAAATTATGGGTGCCCAGAGAGTGTGGACACATTTGTTTCCACAACACCAGAGCGTGTTTTGATGAGAGGAAGGGGCGGAGCCAGGAGCGGCGACGCCCCGCAGGGCAGGCGGACGCAGGGCGGCTCTGGGGCTGGGCTGAGGGCGCTGCCTGGTGGGGAGCCTGGACGTGAGGTCACCACACACCCTTCCTTTAAAGCAAGTGTTTGGGGTCAGTGAGCCCGAGTCCTTGACGACGTCTACCAGAGTCACGCAGTGCCGCACATGTACATCTAAAGAGCAAAATGATTGCTAACAATGGGAAACGTTGAATGAAAACTTAACACATTAATTTGATACTTGTGTTAAAATACCTGCGCTTGTGAGCTGTAGGAATGTTTTGTTCTCGTAAGACACAGATGCAGAGAAGCCATTTGACTTAACTGTGATTTTATTTCACTACTTTCAAATAGATACTGCCCTGTTGGCCATATTATAAACACAAAAACCAAATGGGAACTTTGCAGAAAATTACAAGTCTGGTGGAGGGTGAAATGTGTTGTCTGGCGTTGTAAGACTTCTCTGGAATAAACCTGGACGACACTGCCTCGGTTGAAATGCCGTTTTTAACCATTTTGGGGCCACCCACACATTCTGTCTCAGCTCTTCTCGTTCTTTGATGGACCTGACTTCCTCACATTAGAATTACCTTCTCATATTGAATCTCTTTACATTAACAAGTCTCTAATATCGAATTCACTTCTGGAATTACCAAGGAATTGTTTTAAGCAGGCTTATGTCTCCCCCATTTTTTACTCACGCGTAAAAAAATTACAGACTGTATTTGAAGGGAAAATTTCTTGTGGAGGCAAAATACGGGCCCTGTCTACCTAAATGGAAAAACTCAATTGTATTTGAAATGCAAGTTTCAACTTGCTATTCACATGAGAATGCTCTTGGACATGAACCCATTCTCTTAAAGATTTATTTAGAGACACACGTGCACACACACAAGCCTGAAGTGTAGTTTTAGCTCACAAGACTCTCTGCTTTCCCTACTTTGCAGCCCTTTCAGATTACCTTATATTTTAGAGGCACGAGGGAAGCCAGCACCCCACGGTCAGTGCCCACATGAAGGTCAGGTTGTCACAGCTATTGGCCGATCAAATCTGATTCATCCAAACTGGGCAAACTCGCTGTTGTAGGCGTGTCGGATTGGGTGACACAGTCCAGTGCTGGGGGTGAAATAGCCTGGCTGAAAATGCAAACTTGAGCCTCACTTACAAATGTCATGGTCTCAAGCCCAAGAGGACATTAAACTTATTACAGAGGGAGGCTGTTTATCTGAATGGACTTCTCTTGGTTAGGGGATGACAGTGGCCATGGGATCAGTGACACTCTGAGAGACAGCCATGTCTTGTGGGACAAAATGTGGACAGTGGCAAGAGGCACGTGCGTGTTTGCCCCCCCCCCACCAGAAATAGCGCTTCCGCGTGGCGCCGCGCCTGGCGCTCCTCGGGCCTCAGTGTTGCCGTCTGCACAGTGGGGGAGCGTCTCGGCTTCCATGAGCTGCGCTTGCCCGGACTAAAGGCGGTTGGTTACACGCAGGGATCCCCGTGCTCCAGCACCGTCCATGACATGACGACACTGATCGTCCTTGAGTCCCTCAAAAGAGCTGCGAGGGGAGCTGAGAAGAAGGGCTCCCAGAAGTGAGCAAAGCTGAAGCCGGCGGGATGTTCACGACTGTTCCCAAGTGAGCTCTCTGGAGGATGCCGGCCCGAACACTGGTCTCTGACAGCACAGGTCTGTTAAAAGCTGCTTCCCACAGCGTTGCAATCTTAGCTGTGGACAACGCTGTGAGGCAATGGGGCAGGTTTCATGAAGGCTGTGCAGACGCTACGCTGAGCGACAGGGTTCCAGGCCCAAAGCGAGCAGCTGTTCAGAAATGGACGCTCAGAGTATAAAGGCCAAGGTACCTTTAGAGCAGGCACCACTGTCATAAGCTTTGGTCCTGATGGTGGCACAGTTTTAAATTATATTATTTGATATGTCAATATCACATTTTTAGGTATGGAAGTAAATACTGGTTAGTTAAAACTAGCTTTAGACAAGCAAGTTAGTGGTGTAATATTTTCCCAGGAAAGTGTATAAATCCTCACTTTTTCTTCTCAGTTCAGCGACAGCTAAGAAGACCTGTTTCAAGTGTGTCCATGTTTCCCGGTGTCTGACTGGCGTGGCTGCTAGTGCTGTGTTCCTTGGTTCTTGCCTTCACTGTTTTGGGACATGAACTCCTAAAGGAACTGCTGTTCAAAAACGTAACTGGATTCTTGCGGTCGCCACTTTCAGGGAGTTGTGCACATTCACAGCCGTGGGTTCGGGAAGCTCAGACTACCCCGAGTGGACAGACCTGACTTCAGTGCTGTCCGTGTCTCCAGTGTGAACCCCACCGTGTCCTCGGTCTGCCATTTTCCCACGCATGTTGGTCTAGATGTTGGCGAGTCGGGTAGATACTTTTACCAGGTGTTACGAGAGGGATTGTGAGTGAATTTATTCTTTAAGCAACGGCGGCGTACGGGGCGTGGAGCCAGGCGGCTGGCCACGCGTGTGGAGGCACCGTGTCACGGCGCCTTGAACTCTCATCGTTGTTCTCGGTGACAGAATGCTCATCCCCTCAGCAGATAAATCCAAGAGCTGGCTGGCCGTCCTCTCTCCCCGCTGCGTTTCCCCGAACTTAACGCCTGCCAGCAAGCGTGCCTGCGCTTTGCTGGCCTAAGAGCCCATGTCACCCCTTTATTAAGTGAGCACACGGGACCTGGTCACTGTCAAGGAGACGGAAACATCGGGCGTCCATTGGGAATTAGCAGCAATTCATCTCTGACGGACCAGCGTAGGAAACCCTGGTTTTCTGGGCCAGGGAACCCTGGGGCCTGGAGCAGACACACCTGGGGAGATGCAGGCTCCCCGGTGCATGGGTCCCTCGAGTCTCTCCCCGTGACGGTAGGGTTGGGCTGGAGCAGCCTGACCCCAGGACCAAGACGGAGGAGTGGTGGGGGCCCCTCAGAAGAGCAGGATGTTGGCCCGCTGCTTCCCGGGGGGCTCTCCAGGAGTTGAGGGAGGGGTGTGGGCTCAACCAGGACTGGGGCACAGGCTGTGGGCTCCCCGGATCCCAGGGCTGATCAGCCGGGGTGACTAAGACCTGAGCCAGCAGCACGAGCTCACCCTCGAGCAGGGGCTTCTGTTTCTCTGGATGAACTGTGGCAGCAGGGACGCCACACGTTTGGGACAGCTGTGCGCTGCCCTGCTCCCCAGCAGTCGCTGAGGGGGCTGTGCACTGAGAGCCGGCAGCAGGGGCCTCTGGGAAACCGATGGGGGCCAGTTCAACTTTCACGACCTTCTCTGTCTCTGGCACTGACTGATGCTGACTGCAATCAGCACTGTCGGGGTGACTTCCAGAGGGCTGACATTTTCTTCTGAGAAACCAACTGGAGCTGTTCAGTGTCTCTTTGTGGTGTTTGATTTCTCTGTAAAATACAGATAATGTGTTTGGGATGCTTTGAGCACATCACGCAAAGTAACGCAAACATTTGCGGTGTGGTAAGGCGTCTGTGGTGCACAAGGACCCGAGAAGGGTTTGGTGACACTGCCACTGGGAGAAGCCACGAGGACAGTGCAGCAGGGGTCTGTGTCCTCACACCCTGCACTCAGCTGTCCCTGTGCTCCATCACTGACCGCGGGGGGCACTGCCCCCACCGGCACACACACCGTCCCCTTTTACCTCGCTGAGCTCGCTGGCACTGTCCCCTGTTGGCATGGCTGGGACAGTTGGTCCTCTGCCCTGGGCCCCGCCTGTCCCCACGCCCCAACCCGCTTCTCCCCCTTTCCACTGCCAATGTGAAAGTCTCCGTGAAGCCCCTCAAAACCCCCTTTATTCCCTCCACGAACATCTTCACGTCTCTCTTCCTCCTGTAATTAAAGTATTTCTCTTTTCTCTGTAATTAAAGGTGTGAATTTCAAGACATTTTTTTCAAAAACTGTTTTTTTTCTCAGCGTTTTGGATGTTTCATTAGTACGACAGCCATGGCACTGACCTTCAGGGGCCCCGTGCAGCTGCTCCTTTACCAGGAGCTTAGGGAGCGGGGGGTTCGTGCATTCTCCGGCGTCTGGGCGGTGATGCTGCGAGCTGCTGGCGGTGGCAGCCATGCGCCTACTGCCCTGGGCGGGGCTGCGGGGGGCTCCACACATGGGTGGGCGTCAGAACGTAATGCAGCTGGAACAGCAGTGAGACGACCGAATTCCAGCTTTATGTAGTTCCGATGGATTTAAACGTAAATAGCGGTGCATGGCCAAGGGTTTGTTTGGGGCTGTGCGGGTCTGGAGGACAACATGCTCCATGCTCCAAGGTTTTGCCTGGACGGCGGGTAAAACGGATCCCGGGCCGCCTGGCGAGTCTTCAGTTCTGCCACAAAATCCTAAGCTGGTGAAACATAGACATCAGGAGAGCTGGCTCTGCTTGCGTCAGCCTGTGGTGGAGGGAGGCAGGTGCCCCAGCCAGAGTTGCCCCCGACTGACCACAGAGGCAGCCGGCAGGCACTGGGCGGGGGCTTCTAGACCCCCGGCCTGGCTCTGACATTGTACGTATGTGCTTCAGTGACAGTGACCATGTTGAGTCATGTGAGGGCCTGGGAGCTGTGGAGGCTGCGTTTCAGAGAACTGTGAACAGGCGTCTCTGCCAAGGACCCCAGGCCTGGGCTGTCTCCCAGTACAAATAGGTGTTTGATCATGGAAAGGATGTGTTTCCTGTGAGTCCCGGTGAAGGGGAAAACCGTTTACCCCTGATGACGCTGCACGTGAGCCTGCCCTGCATCTCCTTCCAGCGACACCAAAGCACGAGACAGAGCTGGGAGCAGCACAGGGGCAGTTATGACGGGTCCTCCAGCCCCGTCCAGGCGCCTCCCAGGGCTGCTTTTCAGCCGCCCGTCCTGCGCAGGCTGAGTATGAGAGCCGTTGGCGCCTGCCATGCGTGAGGGACCGGGGAGTGGACCCAGCCAGAGTCCGTGGGTCGGTTCTGGCTGCTTCACACGTGGTGGGTGACGTCTTCTGGGGGCCTGTCTTCATCCGTGAGCCCCTGTGAGTCTGTCCCCCTAACCTCTGGGCTCTGATGGCATTCCATCTAAAAGGGCAGCTTCTGCACTTGTCCCCAGGACGCGTGGGCCAAGGCTCTTGTTGTCACAGTGAAAGGGATTTGGGCTTCCTTCCACGGGTGTCCCTCACTTTGGTGGTGATCGTGGTGCTGTTCAGAGGTGAGTATGTGGACATGAGGGTCTGGTCCACGTCCCCTCTTTTCCCTGGGGATCCTCTCTGCTTACCCCAGCTATCGCGTGTGCACGTCCGTCAGTGGTGGGGTGAAGGGGGTTCTTGCTGATTCTGGATACGGGACAGCTTTTCCATTGTCCGGCTCATCCGGCTCACTCATGCACAAACCCTGGTTGAGAACCTGCTTTGTGCATGGACTTGTCGGGGAAACAGGGCACCGAGGAGTCCATGACCCCTAAATCTCGCGATCCTGCTTAGCAGCTAAACATCTGTATTTTCAAGGTCTTCACTGGACACACATCTTGCCCCAGACAGGGAAGATCATGAACACAGGAAGAAACACACGGGTGGGGTGTAGGTGATATTTCAGAGACTCCGAGGGTGTGGTGGAGCTTGGATGCAGACATGGAACTGGCCTCTATTCGGAGATCAAAAGCCCCTGGTCCTTATACGATGTATTCATGCTTTAGCACTTTTAAAAGGTACCCATGGACGCAAGTGTACCTGAGGCCGCGTGGCCACCGCCGTGCATGTCCCTGTGGAGCGGGCTCACTCACGGGCTGCCTGGCGGACGAGGCCATCTCGCTGTGACATGATAGCATGTTGTTTCCAGCGGGCTCTGTCTTGGTTTCCTGTTTCTAATCCTTTAGTTATGGCTTCCACGGAAGTGATTTTACCATCCAGCACGTAGTCTCCACTGAGGTTGGCTAAGGAACAAACTATCTGGAATGTCGGCTATTGGATGCATTTCCCTGCCTGCAGGTTACTCTGCTAACCTCGAACGTGTGTTTTAGAGGAATTTGCTCTAAATGCCTTGAAATGAGCAGGAGCCGTAAGGAAGAAACTCTGGCAGCATGCCTGTGGAGATGTCGTTTCATCAACGGATGCATTTGATATTCCGAGGGTAGTGAGGTCACAGGGAAGATCGTGGCTGTCTGTCCTTCTGTTCCGCTGTCCCACAAAATGTAAAGCTGTTAGGGAATTTATGGACTATATATTTAGTAAAACAGCTGCTTTCTAAACACAAATATCAGGCCACCAAGGTGTATGGCACCACTGCTGGACCCCGCAGCTTTTCTCTCTGCCATCCATCCGGTCATGTGTCGCTGCGTCCACTGTCAGCAGCACCTCTTAGAGCACGGTGCCGAAAGCATGGCCCAGGGCCCCAGGCATCACATCCCCTGATTATACGTGCAGTTCCTGGGTGCCACCCGGTCTGCCCTCAGCGTCCGGGCTGGAGCCCAGGGAAGTGCCTGGTGGGCCGGCAGCCCCGCTGACGGAGCTGCCCGTCACACCTGAGCCCTGTGATCCCCGTGGGTGCGCAGAGCGGGCTGTGCAGGAAACGGAGCCTGACTCGTGCTTAATACCCATGTGCAGGGTGGATGTGCCCCTGTGTTTTAGACACGTCTCATTTAGCCTGTTTTATTTGTCACGGGACTCATGCTCCAGGTAGAATGTTTGGTTTTGGTGTCACTGAAGGGCAGAGTTTATGTGTGATCTTTGGTGCGTTTCAGCCTAGCGATGGATGAAATATGCACAGCATCCGAGGCCCTGCCGAGAGAGCTGGGCTTGCTTTCGGGGCGGGAGGCAGCTCTGTTTTGCTCAGTGCAGTCCCACGAGAACGCCGAGCGTGTCCCTGGCCTCGCCCCCTGTTATTCCCATGTTCCCACAGCAGTTTCCCCAAACACCTTCTCGCGCCCCTGCCCCGTGCCCTCGTCATCCTGTCGTGAGCCCCACAGGCTCGTGTTAATGCAGCACTTCAGGCAGGAAACATTTATTGAGCACCGGCGGTAGACCAGGCACTGTGCTGGGACACTGAGGACACGCAGGCGAATGCGGGTTGTCTCTGCCTGGTAAGCGCTCTGGTCCCCTGGGCGCTAAAGCAGTGGGCCGAGTGTCCACTACAGTGTTCTCCCATTCCCAAACTGCCTTGTTTCATAAACCTGTGGCCTACGGAAAACATATACGTTGTTAAATTCTCATTTGGCCAGTCCCTGATCTCTTATTGGGATCCCGGATAGGAAACTGGCACTTAAAAATTGCTGAAACTGATGAAGGCAGCACCACCCAAGGCCCTGTGAGCCCTTAGGGATCGAAGCATGGCGAGGCCCTCAGCTAGAGTGTGTGTGACCTTGGCAGCGTAAGGTCAGTGCCCCTGCAGGATTTTATGGGGTATTTGTAGGGTCCGCCTTGGGCAGACCTCTGGTCTGTAGGAATAAGGACTGAATATTGACCGCAGTGACTTTTCCGTTACCAAACATAATTGTTGCATCAACGTAACACCACCCACATTGGTTTTTTAGAAAAATTTTAAAACCAAGGAAGCTTTACTGATTTCAAAAAGGTAACCTTTTGAAAAAAATAAATAACCCAAGAGATTTCTTCATGTAAAGAACTATTGACAAGAAGCAAAAATATCTGTTTTCATCATTGAAATTAATACTGGTGTGGAGGCAGGGAAGGAAAGTAAATCGAAAGAAATGTTTCGGGAAAGAAGAGGTTTGCGAGGAGCAGGTGTAACACATCACCTGCCCGAGTCCAGCTGTGAGGCCAGAACTGAAGGCTTGTGTGCAGAGCGTGACGTCAAAGGAGAAACTGGAAGCGTTCTGGGGAGAGCTGGGTTAGGGGACCAGGAGCCAGTGCCGCGTCTGTAAGACGCTTAGAAAAAGTCTTGTCCGTTTCAACAAAACAGCGAAGGCCATGTGGTAAAAACAGGAAAACAGCAATGGCTGGTCTGTCTCTTGTTTTCATCTGTGGGTCTGAACTGCGCGTTTCCATATCATCGCTGCCCACAAGAAGCGCCCAGAATGTGCGTGCCCGAGAGTCTCGGCCAGGCTGTGGGGACTGCGCTAGTTTGGATCGCAGCTCAGTCCTGAGAGGTCTGTTGTGGTTCCCCATGCTAGGTGGACACTTTTCCTGGTGTGTGGCACTTGGAGGCATTGCTCCAACCACTGTGTCACCCTGTCCAACATCAGTCACCCCATCTGTTTGTCCTCCTCTGTTGTCACAGGTGCTGGCCCTCCGTCGACCCTGAGTATAGGACTGAGTCCTCATTTTCTTCCTGCATCTTCCTTCAAAAACCTGCTATCTTCTCTTGATCTAGTGAGCACATGTGGTCCCAGGTGGTGTGGTGATCCTGTGTGGTCCCAGATGGTGTGGTGATCACGTGTGGTCCTACATGACGTGGTGATCATGTGTGGTCTGAGATGGTGTGGTGATTGTGTGGTCCCAGGTGGTGTGGTGATCCTGTGTGGTCCTACATGACGTGGTGATCATGTGTGGTCCCAGATTTTCTGCCTTCTGGATTTTAAGCACCTGGAGGGCAGGCCCCCTTTGAGCTCCCACCCTCCGGGAGTCAGGTACAACACCTGGCAGAGAGTGGTTGCTCAAAATTATTTAATAAGTGTAATTCTAGCTGAATCTGACTTTTGAGTTACTTTAGAAAGATGGGGTTTTGTCCTTAGTTACAGAATGTGAAAAGGAGGCAGACAGTGGAATGCTGAAGTGGGTGTTTTTAAAGCACACACAAATTGGCTTATATTACTTCCAGCAAATGAATGAATGAGTGAGTGAATGAGTGAGTGAATGAATGAAAGATTGAATGAAGGAGTGAATGAATGAGTGAATGATACCACTGCATCTCTCTG